GAGGCTATTAGTAGGTTACTAATAACCTTTTGTAATACCTTCCTTATTTTAGTCTTGTAAAGATACAAAATAAATCGAATGTAGTTTTACTTTTCTGAGTCTTGTAAACTGGTTTTCTTAACTTTGTATGTGTATCAGGGATAGATTTGCACCATTCCTAATTTCAGTGGGACAACCTTAGTTCTTGCAGTCCCTGTAAAACTAAGTGTTTTATGAAGTCACTATCGCAAAGACCCTTAGATATTGTTAGCTGCTTTGGCAGTATTGATGTCATAATAAGGTTAGGTAACCTCTTAATGAGTTTTTAAGGATACCGTCAATAATGTTTGCTGTTGGATTATGTTTCAGACTACAGTTTGAGACTTTAGAATATTATATTATTATACACTGACCACCCATTGATCTCTCTACCATCCTAAATACTTCTTACTCCTCTTGTTTACATTCACCATAGCTTGATTTATTAATAAACATCAAAATAATCTCCTTGTTTATTTCTTTATCTTCATCAATAACACATTGACTGCAGAGAAATTCAATTTGGTGAAAATGAAAAGTCAATTTCTTTTACTCTCTTAATGTTTATTTCTTTATTATTAGTAATAACATTCTCCTTTAATATGAAAAGTTGGTTTCCTTAGATTTCTGACTATTTATCTTTGTAGAGAATTTGCCTCATCTATAGAAAAAGACAGTTTATTTTGTTTTCCAGCACAAAGGAAACTATCATTCATAAATCATAAATAAAATGCTTTACTTGGAACAAAAAAAGAAAGGTCATCCTCATGTATTGTGTTTCAGGTAGACTTTTCAATGAGTCATTTCAAATATTGCAATGTTTCCCGGGTTAGCAATATTCTTGTAAATTTACATCTTTTCTGATAAAAATTACATTAAGATAAAGATGAGTAGCAAAAATAACAGCAAGTTCTCCTTTACTTTTCTACAAAATTAGATAATATCTCAAACCTCTTAACTGAAATAGCAAAGGAAGCAATTAATCTCACAAGAATAACACTGGTTATGACTTTTTACAATCTCTTTTATTTAAAGTCCCTACTTTCAATAGCATCTTACTCAAAGTATTGTGATACTGACTTTAGAAAAAAGGCCATAGATAGCCTCTTTTGTCAGATTTTTAATGACCTTAAATGAAAGTCATTTTTCTTTTGAAACTTTCATCATTCCGGTAATCCTACATTCTAATCTTCTACGTTTTTTGATGTTCATGTGCATTAAATTTTTCTTTCTTGATAGATTGATTTGAAGGAAACTTTATCATTGACAACCTCTTCTTTATATGAATTATTTGCTTGGTGCAATCATTTTTGCAAACCTGGAAGTATCTGAATTCATCCTTGATTAAGGTCATTTTGAATGCTCCTTATCGGTACTTAGCACGGGTCCTCTAAAAAGTTTTATATACCATACATCTTTTGTGAAAGGGACCTTGATGCCTGCAACATAGAACTTTAATATGCCTGCAAGAAGTATTATCAAAAAAAAAATTCATTATTGCTACTTTTGTGCCAACAGGAGTCTTCCCTTGCATCCAGCTCTGCTCTTCTGACTAAATACAATTTATTTTTTTGCCATAATATCAGTTCTCTGGAGCCAGTTGATGGTTGTGTTTACTCTACCTGTTGGTTATAATTGTCAATTACCATGACGATTAAAGGCATGATGGGAGAATTATCGTCAATTATTTTAAACGTTAAAATCAGACACCTTGCCGTTTTATAGTTTGTTTAGGTACAATATTATTTGTGTGGTTTGTCTTCAGACCACAGGTAATTACCTTAGAAAAAAAGCTCATTAAGGCATGTTTATTAAAGAAAAGGTCACGGTTGTTAAAAATCTCAGGTAATTTTGGATCAAGAATAACTTATAAATAACTCATAAAAGAATAACCTTGATATTATGTTATTAAGATATGATAATAATATTCGCACTTCCTGAAAGAGATTGTGAGTAGCATAATGAACCATCATATTCAAGATTTTGCTGTTTTTGCTGCCATTTGGTAGTACTATGAAAGTACTGTTATTTAAAGGGGCTCCACTTTCTTCTGGCAAATTAAGACCACATGTATCTATAGCCCATCCTTCTCTTAATCAATAAGGTGAAATCATCAAGAGATGAATCAAACCTGATCACTATTTAGTTCTTAGTAAACATTTCATGTCAAATAGACATTAACACCTTATAGTAGTATGTCTAGGTTCATAATCATTATAGTTTTTATCAATCAGTTCATCGTCTCTCTAGATCACTAGTCTTTCATTGATCTCAAACTGTTAGTATGTATTGTATAATTGCACAACAATAGGATATTAAATTCCAATTGAGTGTTGTCAGGTGCAGAACAATAGGGTGTAAGTAAATTTAATTGATTAGCTATGAAGATACAGGGCAGTAAAATGGTTTTATGTAACTGGCGTATCTAGAAAATGCCTGGGGGGGGAGACCAAAAATGAGGTGTATCTCTGGCCGAAAGGATTGAAAAGTGGAGAATGGAGGGATATAACATGTTATTAGTCTAAGTTATATATAACAGTAGGATCAACAACTCACTTTCATCAAGTCAATAGGATAAGGCGTAAAGATGTACATTGTTGATAGTGAAAATTCATTTCTACATCTCAGTGAGGGGCACTGTTGTAAAGAACTAACTCTTTATAGCAGAATTTTTCAATCAAGTTTAGGATGTACAGTGAATTGAATTTGTTGCTATCAATTTGGGGAGAAAAAACAAAAAAGAAAACAATACAGTGTTGATTGTAGATTCCTTAGATGCCACATATTGATTTATTCATAATATTTAAAACATTCATCTGAAATGAGTTGATGCAAATTGGAAAAAAGTCTACAAGTGCTCTTGTGTACAAAACATAATTCAACCTCTGCTCATGTTTTATCTGTTACCATGTATCCTGATATCTTATAGTATCCTTTGTAAAACAATACTTATAGTATGGGAACATCCATTGGAGTTGAGTTTCAGAGATCTGAAGTGTAGAATGTCATAGAGTTCTTTGTAATATTTGTTCTTGTCTCGATTGGTACTGATTCAAGTGATTGCTATATAACAATAGAAAACCATTTTGAAACTTGTTGGTATGCTCACACTTCCTGTTACACTTCTGTTGAACCCAAGAGCATGACAAAATGTCATCAGGTACTTAGAGGTATCCTGACATTGATTATAAACCGGTTCACCTTTTAATTGCTTTATTATATCAAGTTCAATTAAAAGTCGGCAACTCCTTTGTATTATTCATGTAAGCATCAAAGCACTTAATGAACAGGAAAAGGCCTGAAAAGAGGAATAGTTTACATTATAAAAACATGAGACTTTATTGTCTTCAGTGAAATTTTTCTTGTCTTACGATCCTAGGGCGACTAAGAACAATTAAACTCCAGGCTATTGCACAGTCACAATCACCTATGAATATTTCTTGCTAGTTGGTGGTTTCATCAAAATGCCTTCAATATTACTTTTAAAGTTTTATGCAATGTTTCGACGTGTTTCCCCGGTTGTCCTCAGGCACACCGAAACGTTGTATAAAACTTTAACCAGTGATTGTTGTTCCATAAAGCTGTGTCTATATATCGTACTCACAATTGGTAAATGCCATTCAAAGACATATTAAAGTTTGAAAACTATTTTGTTTTCATTATTCATATAAGATGCATTAAGGTATGTAGCTATATAAATAAATAAATAAATAAATAAGGGCACTATTATGGATATACTATTCCTTTCTTTAATTTTTTATTTTTATAACTGCATTTGATATAATTTATTGCTGTGTGTTCTGATCAGATAATTGACCAGAGTAATCAATATATCGTGATAATACTGTTATTAAAATATCATGTCAGTCTGACAGTCATGGAACCATCCTGATCATGATAAACTGCCTGATTCTATGATAAAGACTGTAATTATCAGGACTAAGTCTGAGAATAATTCTTCAACAACATGGGAAATACTGCAGAACGTTTTTGTGGGCTGGTTCCGAAGGCCTGGTTGTGGCTTTATTTAGAAGCTATAAGTTTTGTAGTTAGAGAACCTTTTCATGTTAGCTTGAAATATGTTCTGTGTAATACCAAACAGTAGTTTCAAGATGTGCATATTAAGGATCCCTGATCAGTGGGTGATTGATAATCAATAGTTAAATTAGGTCTGATGTCTAAGAAATTATGTACCTTGCAATAACATGTAATTCATAGAAGCTCATATCATGGGTCATTTTCATCATGTATTTAGCTTAAGGCTGAAGTATTATATGAGAAATAGCCTTGGATGAAAATAATTTTGTTATTCTACTTATGTCTGATTTGTTCTTGTGGAAACAAAAAAGAGTTATTGCTCAATTTTCCTCTGAATTTGAAAAATAAAAAAATTCCGCCTACATGGTTACATGATTTAAGAATAAAAATGCCAAGAAAATGTTGCTAATTTAAATTTTGATAGGCTTCAAAGATTTTGCTACTTTTATCTGCCTCTTCTATCCTGCTTCTGAGAATATATTCTCTTCTCTTCAAAGGTTAATTTTCTAATAAAAATATTCTTCTTTCCTTGAATAGCATTATAAGCTTATTAAACTCTTTAGCATACATATTTTATAAGGCTGTACTTTACAAAAAACTCAAGTTTAGTTTTTTTCCGGGAGAATTTCTATTTTAAAACCTCTATTTGTATAAATGGTTTTTAATTCATCAAGAGTTCTATATTAATGGAACTGTCTGCCTTTGTGGTACATTAACTTGAATGAAAATAAAGGCTTGGATCACAATACATTTGAGAGTCTATAGATGCATTTAATCCTTTGAGAGATTGGATTTAAAATGGTCCCTGGTATAAAGGAATGTTACATGATTGAAAATGTTACAGCCAACTGCTGATATGGTAAAAATTAAGTACAAAATAGGACATAATGTTAAGAGTTTTCTTTCTCAAATTTCTCAATTTTTCACCTTTTCATGTTTTTCAGGAACTATTAACCAGGTCGTCCCTGGAAACACATAAATTAGATCTAATGGCGGAGATATCAAGTTTAAAAATAAGACTGGCCTCGGCTGAGAAAGAGAGGCGAGATCTGGATGATAAATTACGTTATTCACATGTAAGTTTATTATATTTCAAGATCTCCCGAATGAAACATTTGCAATTTGGGTAATGTCCCCCTTGAAATTTTTGAAACCTAGAAGCCCAACCACTGATTCTGAGTGGCCAAAATCCTTATCAAAACGTTCATCTTTTTTGGTTTCGTACAAATGTTTTTTTCACAAACTAGTTCTAACCACCTCAAAATCCAAAGGCGCATTACCACAAGTAGGTGGCCTGAGGGTCCTCTCCCATAAAATTTGGAAAACTTAAAGCCTGAAGAAGATGCATCAAATTAATCAATTCCTTCTAAACGGAAGGTTTTGAGAGAGGTCAATTCCTAGGGTTGGTTTCTTGCTTACTGTGTCCAGCCCTGTGGGCACCACCCCAACAGCAAGGCTGTGTTAACTCAGATTAATTTTGTTTCCTTACAGAGACAGTTAGCAGAAATGGATGCCAAGATGTTGTACAAAGATTCTGAAATTAATGATCTGAGACAAAAGTGTCGGTTGAATGGAACTATCAGCCCTGACACCAGTGGTAAGTTTTCAGTTTCATTACGGTCTTGCCTTATCCGTAATCAGTCCTACAGTTTTCTTAAGCTTTGAAGAGAAATGCTGGAAAAATAATCAGCATAAATATCTGATTACCAAAAAATTTGAACTTGCAATATTCTTGATTTGCATCAGCTGAGTTTTATCATCATTTATGAGACACCTTGTTCTGAATTTTACATTAGGTTTCAATTTTAGACTGAAAATTCTGAGAAAATATTGCTTAGAATTGCTTGCATTGCTGAATTGTGCATTAGTGTTCAGAATGGTATTGGAAACGTTTTAATGTATGTTGTAATTTCATGATTTATTTTTTCATCTTTTCATTTTGATTTCACACATTATCATTTTCATTTTGACAAGCATGTGGCCTGATATATTAGTTTACTAGTATTTATGTTAGATTGTCCAGGCTGTTGTCAATTACCTCATCAATTCGTATTTCAGGAGAGTCTAAAGATCGAACTGTAGATCGCGAGAGAACTTTAGATAGATTAAAAAGAAAACGTAAGCCATGAACGTTTTACGATACGTCTTGTGGTGTGGTGTAGTTTCAGAAACTAACTCAATTGTTATTAACTTTTGCACTTTCAATTTTCAGCAAACCCATTCTCAATCCCCAAAATCAGGGCTGTTGTTTTGACTTTTATTTGCCATTTATGAAAGAAAAGATAAATGCCTAAATATTTGTCTGAAACTTTAAACTTCTTATTGTTGAAGATGAGTCATAGATTCAAAAGGATTCAAGTTTGATTTTCAAAGATTTAATGTAGAATTTACACTCTTATCTGATTAAATATTAAAACAACAGCCCTAGCCCATTTCTTACCTATTTCCCCTACTCCTCATCCCCATATTTGCTTTAATTTCGTAAATAGTCACCTTTTGTCCAATTTAGTACAGACTTTTATCTTTTTCTGAATTTGATTTTATTTTTCTACTGAAATATGTTTTGCTTGTTCAAGTTAAATTTTTGTAAATGTGCAGTGTTATGATTTTTTTTTCAATTTTCCTTTTTTTTTGCTTTTTGCCTTTTATTCAAATAAGCTTTGTATCCAATATTCCAATTTAAAGAAAGAAATACTATAAATATATTATTTTAAACTTGTGAACTCCTTCAATGGGATGAAATTTATGCCACCCTTGATCAGTTAAGTCCTTTCATCCTGAATGATTTTGAAATTTTATAATATAATTTGCCTGTTTATGATAACCGCACGCTTCAATATTTATTTGCACAATGTTTAATCAGAATGGTTTTAAGGGAATATGTAGATATAGTTCACCTATTATCTTGAAATAATTGATATATAGAATACGGTAATTCTTGTCTTCTTTAGCCCACTTGGTGCAGAAAATTCCATTTATTTCATTTCATTTTAGAATATACGGTAATTGAATCAAAATTCTCATGAAAATTTCAATGAATGAGACAAACAGGGATGCTGAAACTCAGTTGTAGAGTGGCAATAGATATTCTTGAAGATTGTGCATGTCTTGTCTCATATCAGTTTAGTGCTCTAAATTAAATTCTTGAGCATCAGAAACTATTTGCCATTATTGCGTCCGTCTGTGTTTGTCTGCTGGAGAGCATCATAGCTTACAAAACAAAACTATAATTTTAATGACAATGATTGGTCGAGCTATATATTGTAACCAATCGCTGTGAATCATTCAATTATGATGGTATGAGCCTCAAAAATATAAAATTGCACGGCCTGAAAAACATATATACCGGTATGTGAATATCTTGAAAAATTTCACTCATCAAATTTTAATAAACTTTCACTAAGCTTTCATTATGTCTATTCGTTCCTTTACCGGTAATTTTACTGAAAATTAAGTTTTAATGATTTTTTTATGGATTGTTTTGATTTACAGAAAGTGAAGTAGAGAAACTAAAGAAAGCTGTAGAGTCATTGTTGATAGCTAATGATGATAAAGTAAGTCACTTCTTAAATTTTTTTTCATTTTGTCACATACCCCACATACTCACATCTATCAGTCTAAGATCCTGAGATTTTAATCCTAAACATGGTGTTCCTCCAAAATTACCTCAAATTTTTATAGTAAGACTTTTTTATGGAACAGGTCACTAAATATCTGTTGAGTGACTGTAACATTTAATCCAACTTTGTTTTGATGGTTTTAACTGTTAGATTCAGGTGTCTATCTATTATCTGTAGTAGTAAAACAGATTATTTTATATGAAATTCTTGAAAAAAACTTAATTTAATTACAATTACATTATATCAGGAGGAGGAACTGGCTGGGTTACATGATACTTGGTATATAGATATCAAACACTTTAATACATTATTAGCAATGATAGTGTCAAGATGAAAAAGTAGAGTGTTAATCTTATTGAATTGAGTTCAAGGCTAGAAGGGCTTTAGACGATGTCTTTTGTTCTAATGTAGGGAATTGTGAATATTAGATATTCTGTTCAGAACACTGCCGTAGAAGTACATTATCAATTATAGTTTTTATATGATAAAGACAAGTGTTTGTCGTATTGAATTATAAGTTCAAGACAATTACCTTTATTCAAAACTGTAGGGAATGGGAAGGATTTTGGTATTCTCTTCAGAGCTATGCTCATACATGGTTTGAATATCTGTCTAATGACGAAAATGATTGAAACTGGACAGAAAAGGTTATTAATCAGTAGTGTTCAAGAATTTCAAGCATAACTAAACATGATGTAATTGAAAATTCCATGAAACAGTTAAGTTTTTTGATAGAGAAAGCCTAAAGTTGGAAAAATAAGCTGATTTTTTTAAATATAAATTTAGGCTACAGTTAAACCATTTATAGAATTCCTTCTGATAATTATGTTTTGTAATCTGACCTATTTCTTTGGTCAGTTGTTAAAGAGAAAGAAACTATCCAGGAATAGTTTTTATGTTATAGGTCAAAGTTTAACTGTAGTATTTGGCTTTATTACATTGCATTGTCCTCTTAACTTTTTCTTTGGTCAGTTGTGAGAGGAAATATTGACTTGTCAATAATTGTTTTGATGTTGCTCGGTCAAAATTCCTGAGATATCAATTAACATTGGCTATAGATATCATAAGCATTTCTAGCACTCCTTTATATCTTTTTCTTGTTATTGAGATTTGTGTAACTTAACCCTACTTCTGACTAGTTGATAGCATACAACTGCCAAGATTTGTAAATCAGAAAGCATCATAGGTTTATTAAAACTCACTTCTGATGTTAGCACCATTTCCTTTTGAAACAATCCATATTTGTGAATAAAAATTGAATGATTTATTTTCAATTTAGCATCAAAATATGACTCACAAAGTAAAATAAAAACACATGAACTTCCTTGTTATTGAATAACAAATTTGTATTTGATTGACAGTAATATCACATAGAAGGAAATAGAATTTGATTTCTTGATATTTGACTATTGGCAAGATTTTTTTTGATTAGTTCAACTTTTATTTGGAACTAGGCTAATCTCTTACATGAACTGGAAAGGGAGATGGTGTTGAAATTATCTGCCTGAACATGAAAGATACAGATATCAGTATATAGGTGTAGAAAGTTATGGTATAGTGAGATATTGGTGATATGATACCATAAACATAACTTACATTTCCTAAACTTGACCGATATAATATACTGGTCATCATTATCTCCCCTTGATCTTCAAGCCATCTAGGTCTAGAGAGGTAAAGAGATTGACCTAGTAATACTTCAGGAGTTCTAATTCACAGATTCTTAAATGGACATCAAAATATATGTTAAAAGATGTAAATTTGATCATACAATGAAACTTTCATCAATATATTGCTATGTTTGAAATATATTCAAGGTCTACTTCTGGTTTCTTAAATTATTTAAATATGATATAATTGATTGTTAATTTATTACAGGATAAAAGACTAGATGAAATGAAGAGAATGTTAAGAAGATATCGTAAAGTAGAAGAATTATTAGTTCAATCACAAGGCAGAAAGGGTAAGCCTAATAAAAAATAATTTATAGAATTCAGTATTGACTCCCTTTACTGTGTTTTTGTTGATAGAGGGATGTCAGTTGTATCAAATGAATACAAGGGTGTACAAAGAATCTGAAAGGTTAGGCAACATAGTTCTAAGTAACTGACTGAATTTCTCTCTACATCATTGATTTTTACTGATTACCTTGCAAATTTCTTCTAATTCTGCTCTGTAGGGCCTTTTTTGATAAATCTTCTTAAAGTGCAGAACATTCACATTGAACTTATTTTACTGATTGTTATTATACATACTTGTTATTATTACAGTTGTAGAAGATTTGTTAATGAATGCTGAAGATGACACAAGTTCAACCAGTTCATCTACAACTCCCTCTGTTGGTGAAATTATTAAAGATAATTTGCATAATGTATGTATATATAATATTTACTTTAATTTTAAAAATACTGTGTACTGTCTTGACATTTTTGCATGTAAATCAAATTTAACCTGTGTGAAAATCAGAATATCAGATCAAAACAGTACTTATTGTTTAAGAATCTCATTGAATTATTGAATATATAATGAGGCTTATGTTCCAAAATCCAATGGGTTTTCAAAAAATATGACCGTTGGTATAATTACAGAATATTAATATTTTCATATAATTATGTTTTCAAGATGGATGATTTACGGGTAAATACAAATTATCTATCATCACCAACGGCAACCAGTACACCAGTAACAGCCAATAATAGAGAAGCTTTAGGAATGACTCGTTCTAACAGTTGTGAAAATTTAATACCAAAATTACAGCAACCACGAGTAAGTGAATTATTTATCTCCTTTATTTCTTGTTCTGAAATTCAGAGTGTCATCTTGAACTCTTCTGTGCAACCCTTGTGTTATTATTTTTGATCATGTCTGTCCTTGAAGATGCCTTTGAAGTCATATTTTTCTTATAATGGAATCTATTGATGTATCTTGCAAATTTTTAAGACTAAACATATAACAAAATTCAGGAAAGTCAGATTATAATGACAATAGAAAAACTAGATATGTATAAATGTGTGGATATATAAAACAATATTATGAGTTAATCAACTCATTGTCTTAAATACTTATACTTACAGCCATATATACTGAAATACCTTGAAATAGATTTGGAACCAAAAATATGTGACATTTACTTCCAGTTGCTCTGATAATATTTCTATTATCCAAATTTTATAGATTTTGTTCCCATTTCAGACTCCACCAAACAGTAAGAAAAGATTTGAAAATCAGAACAACGGAGGCTTTGGTACGTTACCTAAAGAACGTTATTCAGGCGCAGACGAAACTCCTAAACGTAATCGCGGGTTCCCCACCCTCGGTCGTACATTATTACGCATCAGATCAGGAAAACGAAGCTGCTCCGCCCCAAATTTAGGTGACATGTCTACAAATATTTGGCATGCTGCATCATACTCGCAGCGATTTCTTACTAAAAATAGTAACAAACCAAGCGTAATTATCCCCACCACAGCATGAAAAATTAACATGTCCTTGTCTTGTTTAGAGTTAAAACCCCTTATTAACAAATCACATGACTAAATACTTAACAGTCATTGGTTAAATTTGAGTATTGTTTGTATTCAAATCGTGAACATAGAATTATAAAGTGATATTCTACACTTCCAAGCATCATTCTTTAAAGTGTTTCAAAAACGAAAATTATAGGTCTATCTCTTAAGCAAATTTATTAGCAAGTCACTTTTGAAGTTTGAATTGAAATATTTTTGATGACTCCAAAGTAATTGAGCAATTGTCTCCAGTTGGAATCAATTTTTGGATTTAAGTTATATAAAATTTGATGATGTTATGAAGTATGTAGAACGCTAGTATCATGTATCTTTCATTATTACAAATTATATTCTACATATCACATATAAACTTCATTCTTATCTCAGTACTCTTTTCCTCAATATCTTATCTCTTAATCAGCACTATACTTTCAACTTTCTATTTAGGAGTCTATCTTAACTTGAAAAGAATGAAACCTATGTCTATATAAAGCAATATATAGGAATGTAATATCACATGCTCTTTACAAATAGAAAACAGTAACAGTCATATCACAGTGAACTTCAACATATCGCATGCGGATCATTCACAGTGGGGTGTAAAACTCCATTTCATCTCCTAGAATATTTGATATATACCCTACAATAGATAAGCATGACATTACAATCATACATAGCCTATATAGAAACACATGACACCTCTTTGATGGTTAATGAACTATTCTAAACATGCAATGAGCCTTCTGGAAATTTGCATGCTTGGAGTAGTTCAATATTATTGAAGGGTGTTAAGTGAGGAATCAATTGACTTCATCAATATAACATATATACAATATCTATATACCTACTGTTTCATGCAAACCATCTGAAATTGATAATTTTTGCCAAGTTAGACCTAGCATATATCGCTTTTGATGTTAAATTATTTTAAATTTAAGTATGATTTTCCAAGCTATATATATTTTGAATGGCTTTTAGAATTTGTGATTGAAATGATTTTTGTGTGTGTTTTTTTTATAATGCATATGTGTTTTTTTGTTGTACCTTTGTTTTTGTTTTCCCCCTAAATAGGGAAGAAAAAAAAGCGTGGATTCTTTTTTTCATGTAAGTCATCACCTGCCCTCTTCTCACCTAACTCTATGCTCACCAAATATATATATATATATATATACATACCTATATACGGCCATCTTGGAAACTAATTTGAAGGGTTCAAGTTTTTAATATTATTTGATGAGATCTAAGCATGATGATTATATTTTAAAAGCTTACTGGGTTTAGGTCATAATAAGGTGTCTTGTGAATGCTTTCAAATAGCAAAAGCTAAAGAAATCACTAAATGTATATCATCTGCACATTGCTCAGTACTATAACAAAACTCAAGACGTGGAAAAAAGACCTCTTTACAGTAATTTAATCATAGTATATGTAGTTTTGGCTGTTACATTTCTAAGATCTTGATATTAATTTGTAAATTGTGGGACATGGTTTTTCATTATGGCTAGGATTGATTTTCTTTTGATTTATTCTTAGATTTTATTTCTTCTGGGAACTGAATAATTCTGAAAAGCATGTTTAATTCTTCTGAAAATGAAATTCTGCTGATATCTCCGGCTGATATTTTCATTTTAAAGAATGCTTGATACAGCGGTAGAATGCCAGAGTTTATTCCATTTATTGTGCATGGTAGAACTAGATATATTAGTTTTGCATGAGGTGATAGCAATAGAATTTTATCTTAGACTTTGGCAGAAATTCTTGTGGTCAACTCTTGCATGCCTTAAATTGATATCCACAGGAAGCTGAACCTATCTAAGCATTTCATTAAAAGGATTTGATAGAGCTACACTTTCAATATAAAGTTAATTAGGTTATTATTGACTGTACTCTAGAAATTACGGAGGCAGTTGAGTGTGCAAACAAGCAAATATAACATTTATTAAGGTTTCAACCATTTTTCTTTTTAACTGACCTGAAACTAATTAGATATTTCCTAGAATATTTCAAATGATATTTTTTAAAAGATTTGTCCTCTTCAAGTTAATTTCCTTTCAACTGATTATAATATTATGTCTAATACAAGTTATAAACTCTCCTTCATACTCCTTAAAACTGACCCCTTATTCTCCCTAAACCTCTTGATTTTATTCTAGTGTGTTTTAAAACAACATATACACTAACAAATAACAATTGTTTAATTTAGTAAAATTTTTGAGTGATTTGATTTGAATATTATGAAACCGAATGTTGTTTTAGGTACTTTGAGTATTTGGTTAGCACATGACCAACAGATTTTGTAATATATACAAGATACACAATAATTCATAAACAAATATTTTTGAACACAGTTTCAAGCTACATTTATTCCACAAAATCTTTTACAAAAAATACTGTACATTTTCGTCATGTCTATTATGAAGAATCTAATGCTAAGAATAATGATAGGTTAATACAGAGATTATCATATGTATATCAGTCAGTTGATAATACACAAATATGTTATTACATATTACAGACCTTCTCAGCGTAACTGATACTTGGTTTTAACACGTATGTTTCTATTTATAGCACATTCTGAGGTTGTGACAGATGATGAAGATGGCCTTCAACATTTCGGTACAAATGGCGTCCATCATGAAAAGAAACGAAGAGGTCTCCGGAAACTTTTTGGAAAGTGAGTATAATAACTTGACAACTCATTTTGCAAACATGGAGTACAATGATTATTAACAATGATAAACGATTTAAAGTTTCAGTCAGAAAATTATCAGTTGCTAACCAAACTCTGCTATATTTCTAGATTAAAGAGAAGTAGTTCACAAGATTTTGACAATGATAAAAATAGACCTGATGATTTTAAACGTGGAGGTGTTAGAGCTACAGCTACAGCTAGACTGGGTGGCTGGTCACGAGAACTTAAAACAAATATCAAGTAAGTCAGTTTTCTGTTTGGCATGTGTCAAGATGCAGGTAAAAATAATTTTCATAAGACAAATCTGAGTTTAAATATTGAAAAGTTACATGTGGACAAATACTTTACAAAAGTTGTTTTCCATAAGCTTTCCGTTGAAGAAAAGAAAACCACCCCTCAATTATACCCTGATATAAGCTATACAATGTTTAGAAGCAAAAGATTGATACTGTTGTAGAATATTTATAGTTTTAACATTCTTACATACTTGAATGTTACAATACCAAAATATTTGCTCAATATAGAAATACCGCTGTTAAGATAGTACTAAATATATCAATTGTTGAGCGATATAGATGAATATTTATATTTGTAATTATTTGCAGTGATTTAGATATACCGTTTGCTAGATGGGACAGTGATAGAGTGACAGCCTGGATGAATGAAATAGGTTTGAATATGTATTTAGTTGATTGTAAACGCTGGGTTAAAAATGGTGAACAGCTACTCAGAGCCTCTCCTTCAGATCTGGAAAAGGTTGGTAATTTGATATATTTAGATTTTAAAACTGATTATTAAAGAAAAGCAATAGAGTTTTTCCATCAGAAAACAGACATGTGATACCACGTACATCCCGATATAAATGTATTAACACAGAAGATTATTTGGCTCCAAATGTAGTTTGAATATTTTTCACAGGAAATGGGTATGAAGAATGGACTACATCGGAAGAAATTACAACTAGCACTACAAGCTATTGGTTCAGAATCTAGTGACAGGCTTGGAGATCTCGATCATAACTGGGTCACAAGTAAGTTGTATTTCTTTCATAAATAGGTCACAAGTAAGTTGTATTTATAATACTACGAAAGAAATCTCATTCCAGTTGAATTTTAATCATTATTTAAAAACAAGAAAATGACCATGAGATATTGTTTATTATTATAGGATGGTTAGATGATATTGGTCTTCCTCAATATAAAGATAGTTTTTATGATGCTAGAATTGATGGTAGAATGTTACATTATATGACTGTTGTAAGTACTTAATATTAAACTAGGGTGGAGCTCAATTGATGGATTCTGCACATGGAATCAACTGAAAGTTAAACAAATTGAAGCAAGATAGAAGAGTATATGTTCAATGTGACATATCCAGTTCAATTTACACCTAGAATTGAAGAGATTAAACCTGTTTAAAACTTAATAATCAAGCCCCACCAATGTGGTTAAAGTCTTTGGAGGTTCTATATGTAAGGTAGACCTATTGTCCTAATCCCATCGGGGAAACAGTTCAAAACTTGTTAATTTTTATTATGATATTACAGGACGACTTGTTAGCTATGAGAGTAACCAATGAACTACATCATATCAGCATTAAACGTGGTATACAAGTGCTACGTGTTAATAATTTCAACCCACAATGTCTTCGTCGTCGACCCTCCCCCGATGAGGTAAGTATTTTAATCTTTGAAATAGCTTATACTTCTATATAAGAAACAGATCTAACCGTCAAACTCAAAGACTACATAAGTTCCCAATCTTTTGCAATCTTCATACCCCTCTTGCAACGTTTTCATACAAAGTGCAGAAAAGTAGGACGTAAAACTCCATTCATTTCATTTCATTTGCAACGTTTTGATGTTGTTAGTACCACTTCTTACGCCATATGTGCAGGAAAACATAGATATTTTAAAATATATCTATAAGTATATAAGGTTTGTCAGTTATCCCCTGTAGTGCTAATTGGTACCCCAGGTTAAGGGCTTTACATGCTCTTGTCTTAGAGTTTTAACTTTGATATTGAGAGAATGAAACAAGGATGTTTCTTTTATTTATAAAACTGGAGAGAAATACCCAAGTATCAAAGTCTAAAGAAACTCATAATTGAATTATCAACCAAAATTCTGCTAATAGTGTAATGAAGCTCACTATGTTATCTTATGATTTATAGATTCTACCAGCTGATGTGATATCATGGACAACTCATCGTGTTATGGAATGGTTACGAACAATTGATTTATCAGAATACGCTCCCAATCTTAGAGGTAGTGGTGTTCATGGTGGACTAATGGTAAGCATTCCCTGTCTTAATCTCTTATGAAGTTGTAACTAATAAACATGTTCACTTTCATCTAAGTAGATAATATATTTTTCTTTGGATATTTCTCACTATCTCTGGTCTGTAAAATGCTAATTTGGTTTGCATAATACTATTTGTAAAAAAGGCAATTTTGTGAATTTTTAGGATTTAAGGCTTTTTTATGAGATGAAATAAAAGTGTTTTCATGAATTAAAATTTCTGTGAGTGAAAATTTACAATAAGTTTGAGTATTTCTTATACTGATATGTCACTAACTTATGATGTGTTATGTTGAACCTTCATTTATACTTTCATTTTGTTTTTTCAGATTTTAGAGCCAAGATTTACTTCAGAATTATTTTCACAACTCCTTTCGATACCACAAACTAAAACCCTACTTAAACGTCATCTTAATACCCATTTCATAGCTTTAATAGGTGCAACTACTCAACAGAAAAAACGTGAACTGGAGGCCAGTCCTGGTTATGTTCCTTTATTACCTAGCTCTAAAATCAGAGTAAGTAATTATTTAGTTGATAATCATCAGAGACAGTGAAGTTTTAACAAATTTCACAACCAATATTACGTATCGTTTGGTCATAATCAGTAACCTTTTGAACTCTTCAAAATTTGAATAAAGGTTGAAAAATTCAGTCAAAGAGTAATACAAATTTATTGAATTTGGATTAGCTATAGTATAACATTGATATTTACAAGAAATTTTATAGGCTTGGTATTATGCATTGAGCATTATAGGATATCTCTGCCGTATTAAAAGAGATTTACTAACAATCCTCTAATTTCTTTGCAGAAAGGTAAATTCATATTATTTGGTCATAAACGAACAAAATCTGAGAGTGAGGCCGATGGTTTTATTTGTCCAATGGAAATTGGAGGTAAAGGTTTACGCAATGGTAACCATGGAAATGGAACAAATGGGACAAATGGCAACCTACCACAAGTAAGTTAATGGGTTTCTACAGATTTTCTTTATTGTATGACTAGTATTTCAGTTTTTTATGCCACAGCAAGCTCTTTTGGTAATGTCATTTGCTTCAACTAATCTATTCTAAAGGGATCAAAATAATGGTAATTACTTAATTTATTTTAAAAGTGGGTGCCTGGGTATCATCCTGTATAATCCAGGATGATCATTGTACACAAACTGTGTGCCTCCCTGATTTTGTCGACATATAGACTTTGGTGTCTTGATAGTGATTTGTATAGATAAATGTTTTATATCTTCTGATTGATTTCATTATTATATATTGTAGAGGGATGAAAAGGCTGCTAAAGAAATTGGTGCTTTTTCTAAAGAGATAAACTCATTAACGGTAAGTTGATGATAATTCTAGTTAAACTGGAAATTGTTTGATATAAGATAATTATGAATATAGTGGTCTGATTCATTACATGACAATAACTTTCTAATTTAATGTGAGGAGGATGTAATATTTACTTATCTTAAGATATGTTTTAAATCACTGATAATAATAAAATATCTCTGTTAGACTGTAATTTGGAATAGAAACAATAATTCACCACTACATATTTTATACACAATTTATGGTGTTCAAAGATTGTTTCGAAATTCAATAGTAATATTTTATTGTTATTTTATGTTTTTTTTCAGAATATGTTGGCCCAAGATAAATATTACGAAGTACAGACATCAAATGTGTGACGTGAATAACAAGGGGCCAGAACTCTTCCACATACAACAACATAGCAGGGACTAGATTGTTAATTTCAAATTATTTTTATATTGCAAGTAGATATAACATAGTTTATGGGATGGAGTTCACTTTGTCGAAATTTTGCCTTCAACACAAGAATTTGTGCTGGCCACAAAATTTCTTTAGACAGTCTTAGGTTATGAACCTTGTGTCACATGGCTTTAATTATGAGAAAGCAATGTTGGCTATGATAAATCCCATAATATTGTCAGCTTACTTTCATAACCTGATCAGCTCTGAAATCGAACTCCATTTCTTAAACTTAAGTTAAATATTAGATGTTTGCCTCTGTGACTGAGTGTTGTGAAATGCCTTTAAACTGTCGTGTTTCTACTCTTTCTATCTTTGTATTTAACTTTGAAAAATATTGCCTTATTGCAATTTTTATGAAAAGAAATATTTTTATAGTGGATTATATAGAACCCTATGAGAGTTATAAGAAAAGTCACTTTGAAAGAGTCGAGTGAACTAAGAGAAAGAGGGTAATATTGCAAAATGAGAAGTTACTCTAGTGGCTTTTATTGCAAAAGTTAATATTTTTCTAATTCTGCGCCCAACTATAGTGCTAATCTGCTCTTAAAATATGTTAATTTATTCGTAATATATTCATAATATATTCGTAATATTTTTCTCAATCTATTTCAAGCCTTAATTAATCCCGATGTGTAACGAAGCCAAAATTATTTTTAATGTTTTTTTGTTTTACTTATAGTAATTGTAGAATTGTGTATAGAAATATTTTTAATACTGAATTTGTAAGATATTTGTAACTATAGTTGAAATGTGCAGTGTACAGTTTTTAAACCATGTATATTTTTATTCTTCCTAATATTGTTCGATCTGGGTTTTACTGGCTAGACATCAATAGATCTTTTATCTAGTGAACCTAGACCAACTTTAAGAGTAGATTTTGTTGATTTGAGGACAGATTCTAGTTTTTTGTGTTCTGATTTTATGTGTGAATTGATACAAACAAATGGATATTTTATTCAATCTGTTATTTTAAATCATTTAGAATTTTAAAATTTTAAATTCAAAATGGTGCCTTGAAATATACTGGTAACAAAAAAAATTGAAATTTATTTCAAAAATTCCTCAGTACAAATTCTACTCTAGTTTCGTTAAATATTGTGTTTTAAGCCCAAAGTGCCTTTTTTCGAGAGCTCTAATACAAGCTGTCTGCTATTTTTATGTAACCATGTATATTTTTACTCATAGTGCAATTGAAATCATTTTAAATAGAAGAATTGTTTTATAAGAATTGTACTATATCTACTTAAATAAACACCAGTTTACATACTTATTATTGACTTGTTATATCCAGTGAGAGAGGTTCCCCAGGTACTTGGTTGAAATATATTCCCAGGACAAGGATATTTTTCTCTGCAGGTTTTTGATTGAAGATTTTCCAAAGGGGTTTTATTTTATCCCTTGACTTTAGATCCCTAGTCAAAAACGCCCTTTATCTGAACTGTAGTTCTTTGATGGAAAATATACCAAATGTGCTATGTATAATCAAGAGTTATTAGTTACGGAATGGGCTTCATCTCAAGTCCATGCTTAGAAAATACTCCAAAAGGTCCAAGAGTTGGAAATGTTCCAATAGGACTTCATCTCATGCATGGAGGTTTTTCAGAATATGTCAAAGGGCATTAACCTTTTGTTTCAAGTGTCTTTTGTAGAGAAATGTTCTAAGGATCCATGGCGATAGATATTGAAAATGCATAATGGGCACACAAACTATGAACTATCATCTTTCTTTTATCCTACAATAGCTCCTAACATACCACAGCTTTTATTCTACCACAGGCATTCTCGACTGGTTGTTCAACTTTCCTTGTATATATAATATCAACAACAGAACTTGAATCCTGTTGGTCGAACATATTTCTATAGTGACTTTCCTTGGTTGTTTCAGTGGAAACCATATTATTTCTTGAGGAAAAACAATTTCTTTACAAAAATATTTTTAACAATATTCCACATTTCATATATTTGATATTTTACAATAACAAAATAACAAATTCTATTTTGGTGAACAAGTATTTCATAGTAAGTTTGCATTTAAGATTCGATTAAAATTCAATATGAACTTTAAGAGCATTTCAAGCCAAAATTTGATTATCATTCACAAGTACAATATATATTGCACAAGATTTCTAAATAAAATTTGGAGGTAAAATTCCTTCAGGTTTAGCAATTCTTCCTGAATTTTTTATTACAGTTTCAACGAAAGTCTGAAGTCGAGAAACAGGCCCACCGCCAACAGCCACTGATCGTATTTTTGGAATATATTGTTTAATAAGAAAAGATAACAATTTTAAGAATTGGCTGCGATATTGTTCAAACAATGCATGTCCTGTTACACTTAACATATCATAGATCATAGTGGCTGTAATATCAGGCTGTGGTTCCGTATTCAACACTCGCGATAACCAGATCCATGCAAATTCTAAACCATGTGGGTGTTGACAGTTACTTCCCTTTGGTGGATGTGTGACTATTATTGAAGCATACAAGCGCATGATACCAGACATCCTCTTTAAGAATTTATCTTGTGGTTCAATAACTCCATCTTCTACCTTGTAACCTAATAATCTGAAAAATAAAAGTTAGAATCTGAAGTAGATTTAGATCAAAGAGGAGATCTGGGAAGGAAAACAATGAAATGATTGGAGTTTTGTGTCCTACTTTTTGGCACCATGTGGGCAAATGAAAACGCCATGCAGAGTGCAATGAGGGAAATTTTGTGAGGACAGCAGCATTAGCCTGCTCATTTTCGATTTCTAACTATTGAGGGATCTTTAACATGCACAGCCTGTAGCACACAAGGCCTGGGTTTATAGCCCCACTCCAATGACTAGACCCTTTTTCCATGTCAGTTCCTCTTACCTGCACCACTGCATAATCTCGACCTATGCCAGTATTGAACAGATCTAGGAAGGAACTGATAGATAGATGTAGTTGGACAAGTCAAGTAATAGGAATCAAGGAAGACAACAACAAAAGGTTTATATATAAATAACGAATCAGATCAGAAACAACAGATGAAGCATATCAAGGAGGTTTAAAGTTCCTACTATAAAGATGAAGTAACCAACAGCTTTGTCTGTTAATTTATGAATGAAACTTTAGAGAATATCTAAGCTCAGGGGTACTATTCTCCTAGAAAATGGGACCAAATAAACATACACTTCAGTTTTTTCAAGTAAATGGCACAAGCTTGATGAAACAATGATTGAAATAAGTCTTAATACTTACTTATGATATGTTTCTATAGACTGTTCATCTAGTTTAGGAAGACTAACAGGTACTGTATAGGGACAGGCTTGATGAAAGTGGGCCAATATTAAATCTCCGAAATCAGGACTATTACACCAAATACCAACTGTTACTGCTGCTATACCAAATGCTGTTTCATGTTTTGATGCTACTTGTTCACTGCCTTTTTTCTGAAAGTAAAAATACAGGAGTAAAGGTTAGTGTAAAAAACACTACCTTAACATGTTTTGGGGGCCACAATGTCTGAGCGAGTTAAACACTTGATAGCTAATCTGGGTTTTATCTCGGTATAAAACCTGGAAAGTCCGTTGTCTGGTTATCTGGATGGGACAATAAACAGAGACCTTATGTGCTTAGGTTTGTGCTCGTTAAAGATCTCACTACAGTTGGGCATTGAGAAATAGTTGACCTATGCAGCAGCTCTGACAAATTTCCTCATTGCACACTGTATTAGTCAAGGACTTATTTCATTGCAGATGGTTTTGATTTTGAACTGATGGATTACTGCCTCCTAGTTTAGGATTTTTCAAAGTTTGTTTGCATCTTAAACATCTGGATGTAGGGCCATTTTTTCTCATCACTTTTGACCAATTGATCATTACAGAATGTATGAAAGCAATCAAAAATCAATTGAATATCATTGGTTTACTTGATTAATTATCAATGTACGTAGAAAACTGGAACACTGTTTTTTCACCTACCACAATCATTCTGGCAGCTAGATTTTTACAGAATAATATTCCTTCTGGAACTTCCTTGGCGCTGATTCTCTTTCCTGTAGATTCCACAGTATAACCAGAGAGTAAGAGATTTAGACGCTGTAGTTTGTCTTGTAAGTGAGAACTTTTTTCAGCCGATATAGCATTAATAGGTGTATTCACAGCTTTCTGTAACTCAAACTTATATTTCTTCAACTGGAAAGGAAAATATGGATTAGATTTACATTTTAACATAAAATATATATTAAGGAATCAAACTGAATAATAGCCCTTAAGAAAGACAATTGTTTTTGTAAATAAAAATGTTTTCAATTCTAGACTTTGAGCTCACATTGTTCATTGACCAAGATAAGCATATCTTAATACCTGCCTTCATGAAAAAAATACCTCAATAAGATCTCAATTTTCTATTATTGACAGAGTTTATATTTCCTATATATTTCACCTAATTAAAGCCCTGCTCCTTTCTCTATGTTGATTGAAGAACATCTTACCTGAACGTTTTCAGTAAAAGATTTGAGTGATTCTGTAACTTGTTTTAATTTACCCTGTAGTTTGGTATATTCTTCTAGAGCATCCACCATTACATCTTCAGCTATAAATATATAGTCAAATGTTAATACCTTAGGCCATAAGCTGATTGCTTTGGATGTTACATAAAAGGCTTCAAATTTTCATAGTATATAGCGCAATTTTCCCTGAAATATATAGCTAACTAATCAGTTTTACAACTAATTTGTTGTGAGCTTACAATTCAATGATTGAAAATTAATATCTAAGACTTCCTGTCCTGTAGGTCAAGAGATAAAGAAAGAGATATTCACCGGTTCAATTTTTTAGGGCTGAGAAATAAGTTTATAACAATTCATTCTGATTAATGATGGTGAATGGAACGACCTGCAGTAAGAAATACTAAACCAAATTTCCACTGATAAAAATCTTGGAAAACACTTGAATTCCGACAGAGTTTTATTTATTGCATGTGAATGTATAACCCACCTGTAGTTATTTTATTTGATGCTGGTGTTGAAGTTGTTGATGCTGTTGTAGATGCAGCCGGTGCTGTAGGTGTAGCTGGTGTTACAGTTTGCTGCTGTTTCACCTGAAATATAAGAAACCAGACGTGTGTACAGACAGCAGTAGGCACAATTTTCCAACAAAATAATAATGACATTTTCAGAAAACTTGGACCAAATGCTTCAAGAAGATTCAACGTCAGGTGACAAAGAATTCTGCAGGCTTTTAATATAAAATCTATCTCTGTATCATGCAAACACTGTGGAAAAAAATAAAAGAACATCTTCAGAATACTCATGAACTCTTAAAACATCAAAACTAATACATACCTCATTGGCTTTAGCAACCTCAGCAGCTTTTAATGCTTCTTGTTCTTCTCCTTTCTTTTTGGCTTCAACTAAAGAATGGAGAATGAAGATACATGGATACTGTCTATCAGAAGACATTTGGAAATTGTCTTTTAAATTATTGATAAAATATAAAAATGAGCACACGTTTCTTTTCTATGTAAACTTACAAAAAAAATATATTGCTATCAACACAGACATTCTAAGACTAACAGTTTTATTTTGAGGCTGCTATTCCAATTCTCCTTCTGTTAGGCCATTAGGTGCCGAAGGTTTGAATCTTCCTCAATACAAGAAAAATTCTGATTCCATGGCCAGTGCTCCTGAGAGTAAATAATAATGTAACAGATAAGATTCTGAAGAAAGAATGAGTTATGTTTGCCACTAATTTCTAAATATCTAACATATAAAATGCATTTTTAGTTACCACATTAAAGACAAGACTTTTACTGATATGTGTTTTAGATGCTTACCATTGCTGACACTGAACACTTATTCTAAATAATATCTTTAGTCACATACTATACACATTAAATGATCTGAAATAGCTGACCCATACTTGATTTCTGATAGAGGATAGAGGGTAGAGGAGCTGCCCTGCCGGTCATGTGTGCCAAATAGAGCCAAATCAACAGCCCTGATCTTTACTTACCTATATGAGGTTTAATGGCTTCTAATCTGTTTTTACTTTCTTGAAAAATAACCATCATATTTTTAAGCATTTCTTGATTGAGGATGGAAGTTTTACTTGAGGTTACAATGTTGTCAGCTTTAGATTTTAATGCTGTAAGTTGGTTATGAATTTCTACTGCGGCTGGTGAGTAGAAGTTTTTATATTGACACGAGTCGTACAGCTGCATAAACTGTTTAAAAACTATTTCAATAGAGTTGTACACCTTTGATATCATTTCTCGTATTTCTTCTTGTCTATAAAACATCATTGATAGAATAACATTAAACCCTGTAGTTATTATTTTAAAGGGACAGTCTGATTTTTCAAGTAGGCTAGTTGCTAAAATTAGAAATCTTTTCATCTATTATTTACACAGTTTCTAATTATGAACAATTTGCATACTGCCCCTTTAAATAATATGCAAATGACTTGTAAGACTGATGAATATGTCCATTAACCACTCAGTAAAATTAAGCAGCATTAGCCAAATCACTCAAATCTGTTTGGATTTTAAATTGTCAATTAGTTTGCACAAGATGGAGCAATAGATTTATGTAGAGCTTTAGAAATACATACTGTCTCTTTCTTTCTTCTTCTTTTAACTGTTGTTTTCTCTTTTCTACTTCTACAACTTTAGCATCCAACATCTTAAAAAAAAAATAAACAGCTGTGGACCAATATTCATTCATTCAGTGGCTTTGAGCACTCTCCATGTAGAATGGATTTCAGCGATTTTTAAATACTACCATTGTTATAAAAAACACAGAATGTGGTGGAGTTTATTTATAAACTAGATGGAATAGTTAGAACACTATAACTCAATCTCACAGATTTGATTTCCCCTGAATTCATACATCACTAGTACAATGGAATAAATCATCAAAAGAAAAGATCTATACTCTACCTGACTATGGAATAAAAAATTCAAAAATGGAAAGAGAATATAAATCTTTACCTGACTATGATGTTTATGACTTTCTTTTATAACTTGTACTTGTTTCTCACATTCTACTTTACTACAAAATAAATATTGTTATGCTTATTGTGTGTCTAATTTCAATTACATCAAATGCTTTCTTTGTGATGTGAAGATCCACATCAATATATGTCCCTGGCTTTGATATATTCAATCTAGCAAACAGACGAAAGGGTATTTTGTAGGAAGTCATCTCTTCCCTTCTAAGTCTACCTTACATGCTTGTTAATATACAAAATCTATGAATCTTACTCTCGAAGATGTTTCTGTGTTTGTTGATCTAGCTGTTTAAGAAGTTCATTACGATTTCTTTCACTCAGAACCAACTGCTCTTCTTGTATCTTCATCAATTGTTTAGAATTATCATCAAATTCTTTTCGTTTCTTTTCCTTAGCAATCTGAAATTAGAAATTTTAAGAATTCAAAAATATCTGAAAGAACTGGTAATATATTTAAAAATCATGTGACCTCAGTCTATATGAATGAGACATGGCAACTAGTAAAAATCATGTGACCTCAGTCTATGTGAATGAGACATGGCAACTAGTAAAAATCATGTGACCTCAGTCTATGTGAATGAGACATGGCAACTAGTAAAAATCATGTGACCTCAGTCTATGTGAATGAGACATGGCAACTAGTAAAAATCATGTGACCTCAGTCTATGTGAATGAGACATGGCAACTAGTAAAAATCATGTGACCTCAGTCTATATGAATGAGACATGGCAACTAGTAAAAAGTATAATACCTTTGCCCTATCTTCCCATTCTATTTCATATTCACGTATTGATTTAGCTGACTTTCCAAACTCTGGTGATACACATGTCCTTGGTTCAATTGGTTTAGGAGAAACTGGTTTAGGTGGTGAAACTGGTTTAGGTGGAGCAACTGATTTTGGTTGAGTAACAACTGGTACGGGTTTGGTCTGAATTGGTTTGGGAGGGGGAGATAATCCATCAAAGCAGGTTGTGTAAAATGAATCTTCATCTGCATTATTATTTATAGAACTGAGGATATAAAAAATATATTGTTAGTAAATATCTTAACAGTCATTTCATTAATCAATTTTATAGATAATATTTAAAACTTTGAAATTGACTATGTTACTACTTAATAAAGTACTTTAATTATGAAAAGCTTTTTCAATTTGTCTACTACAGTTTTATTCTGGTATGGTACCGTTAGTTAATACATGTAAATAAAAAATAACATTTTGAAACAAACTTAAAAGACCTCACCTTATATTTTCTTTGTTGTTAGATGAAACATCTGAATCTGCCTGATTTAATGTAAGTTTACAAGCATCATAATGAAGTTTGGAGATATATGGAACATTATTTAATGAATTCAACCAATTCTGAATTAAAGAAATAAAATGAAATTAACTCACATCATCAACTAAAGAAGATGCCAAATAGAATCCATTAACGGCTGTCTTGAACATTCATTCATTCGTTTGATGACACTCCCAGCCAATCAAATTTCTTTGCTCTCCAACAATGGGATTTTATGTTTTCCGAGAAGCATTAGACTAATTTATCAACTGAATACACCATTTGTTCAAGTCACAAAATTACAACATTGGAGAGGTAAGAAATTTGATTGGCGGGTGGTCTTACTATGCTTGTCAAATAGTGAGTTTGCCCTAAGTGTAACGGCTTACAGTGGTTTCCCCCCTCTACAAGTTCCTCCCATAGTTGTTTTCCCCCTTTACAATTTCCACCCTAGTGGTTTCCCCCCAGTGGTTTCCTCCCCTATATGTTAGCTTAGGGTATGTAAAGAAGGAGAATTTGATTTAATAACATATTTTATTTCATTTTAGATATAGAAATCTGTAGTTATATTTTCCTTAATTCAAATTATTTTTGTTCTATATTTTTTAATAATTATATGTTTTGTATACACGATTGCCTGAAACAAATAAAGAGTTAATTTTTTTAGGCAATCATTATTGGTTTGGTCTTATGTTCAATTTCAACTGGATATTAACTTGTGTATTGGATTATTAAAAAAAAATTTAATTGTTATGTGTCTCATAAGCCTCTTCTTTCTTATTTCAAAGCTTACTTATATTTTAATGATTTGTGACATTAAATAAAATAACTTATATTACCGGTACTATTATTCTTAACAAATAGCAAACAAGAAGGGTTTAATTAATGACAATCATTAAAAAATGACAATTACCCAATTAAAAATGTTGATAACTGTAAATTATTGTAATTAAAAGATTACCTACCTGTCTTTAATTTGTGACAGGTCTATGTAAGAAGTACTTCATCCTGTGTCAGTGACTTCTGTTGAAGAATAACTTGTTATCTTTCAACCACCTAATCTCTAATTTGTGATGAATCAAACTAATTTAATGAAAAGATTCAATTTTGTTGCAAAGATATAGACCCTATTCAGGCTACAGACACCTTTTCATTTATTATCTAAGTTTTATCCTCTTCTATGGACGAGTTATTTGTATTTGAAGCAAAAAAATGAGGTTGTTGACGAGTTAACTCGAGGTTGTAGACCAATTAACTTAGTTTGTTGACGAACGAGTTAACTATCGACAAGTTGACATGTAGAATGTAGACGAGTTGACTGAACACCAAGCAGATTACCTTTCTTTGTGTCGGAGTTTCGGGTTGATTTTCATAACAAAGTTTCCCTTTGGAACAATTTCTTAACTTCATACCGATATCCATTTCAAATTTTCAATAATCTGCCCTTGATGACTCGAAATTTCAAATATTCAAGTTTAGAAAATTAAAATTCACACGAAGGCAGCCATGCTGGTTTCGTACACGTTTAATAAAGATATACCTAAACGAAACTTGTATCATGTTATCAAAATTTATGTAACGTTATCTGTTATTTTAAGAAAAGGGAATGAAAACTTATCCATGTCCTCGGTCAGAGTTATAAAACATTAATTTCTATAAAATCTTACGAAATAAATATCTCGTTTTATTAATGCCAAATTCAATATTCTCTCTTTTTTAGATACCGATGTCACATGATCCATTGGCGCTTTTATGAAAGTTTGTTGACGTTTGAAATGAAACAAAATTCAAATTTATCCAGCTTATATCACTGAAGTAAAGTAAAATAGGGTAATCATTGTCATATTTGTAGTGGTCTCTGGAAATAAATTCCCTACTACTAGCTGGCCAGTCTAAGACATTCTTCATATTACATTTTTAGTCAAGTTTTATAATGATAGGCCTAACCTAATAATTCCATTCATATTATATAATCAATCACATGTCCTGGAAGATAATGATCAATGATCATCATAGATAGAACTAATCTAATGGAGAGGTTTTTAGCCAAGCTAAGGTTTTAAAAAATATTAGTCTTGCTTCCATTTTCCTTGCTAACCCTATCCGAATGCTGCGGACCTGAAACAAACCTTTAAACAAAACTTGAAAAATGCAATTGTTTCACACGTTAGTGCGTCAGTCAACACGTCAATTGATAAACATAAATTATTAATTTGTAAGGTAGCATCGACATTTTGATGTGTCTGACTTGTTTACTGACACGTGTGACATGGACGTTTTCCATTTACAAAATAAAAATATTGTAGCTAAGCTCATCAGTAATAGCGTTCACATAGCTCACCGTCTGAATTTGAACCATGTGTCCAGAATTATCTGTGGTTCAAGGTTAAAATGAAAGCTGTTCTTTTTTTGAAACTTGAAAAGACATATTTAGAAATAGAAAGTGAAATTTCTACTGTGATATATTTTTAAAGGGATTTTGTGAATGTCATGCAGTTCTAGTAGTTCTGAAGACTATTTACATATTCAAAAACAATCAAACCCCGAAAATGGCCTTTTATTAGGGAGCCATCTGGGTGCATGTTATGAGCATACCTAAAGAAAATATTTTGAGGATTCGTTGTTTACTAATGGACTTTCGGTACTTTTGTTTTGGATGGGATCTCATTAAGCTGGAAGTTAGAAGAAGTCCTTGAGCACAATCTCCAGAGTTATTGATGACAATAAAGAATTGAATTGTTATTGGTTTAAGAATACCTTCAAATGAATGTGTCTATGGAACAAGACTAGTCTAAAGCCACTAAGCTAGTATGTCTAGAGTTATACATAGTCTAGAAAAGTACAGTTCTACAGAATAGTTACAAATAAACTACACACTAATGAAGCTAAAATACATTCTGTCTACATTTCATTTAATTTCAGCTAACTAAAAAATATTTGGTTGGCTAGCCATATCCACGAGTTGACTACCGTTATTAAAATGGAGGATGAAAATGAAGCAAGTGTTGACGACACAAGTCAGAAGTTAGCATCAATAACGATTGAAGACAAGAAAGTTCCCTTTAATGGTAAATTTCATAGTTTTTCTTTCTTTCTCTAAAACTATCCTTATACACATGTTACTAAAGTAAGACATATATTTTGTATTATGTGGGTACCAGATTTGACTACTGGATTCTCTCTATTCAGTTAGAGGTAGGAATAGATCTTGTTTCTGAAAGGAATGAGCATCTATCTATACAGGTATTTGTACACATTCACAAACATCAGTTCTCAGTACTTTTTATTTTAGATACTGGTACATTAAATAGTAATTGAACCAATTTTTTTCATCTAAACTAGAAACATAATGACTGTATCCCCATTGCTTGTTGCTTTATTAACAGTATATATTTAACATTTCTCAATTTGAAAATCAATACAAATATATTTTATTCTTCAGATGTAACCAACACCCCAAATAAAGTGAAAGTAGAGGAGAAAAAGGTGCAGAATTCTGTTGACCCAGGAGAAGATATTTCACCAAGCGAGGATGATCAAATAAAATACAATAAACTTATTACTAAAGCTAAGAAATACATAGGCGAGGGTATGATTAGAAAAGCCCTGGAATTAAATCAAAAAGCTTTAAAGCTTTGTTTTTCAGAAAAATTGGCAAAGAAAGTAACCAAAATGGAGGTTAGTAAACCAGCAATTCGATTTAGTTTGTATAATTTTCCAGTCAGAAATGATACAGTATAGCAGTGAAATATAGTAGGCTGTAAACTAAAACTCACTCAATTGTCAATAACCAAACAAAAGGGTTTTAGCTCCAATTTAATTCCATGTGCCCATTTAGAAATATAGTTGAACACATGGGTCCATTTTGTTTAATTTCACCCAGTTATATGATTGTCAGTAGAATGTTCAAAGAGTTGTGTCTCCTTCAGGCATACATTTAAAAAAGTGACCAGTCACCATTCTCTAAATTGTAGTAAGAGTACTATATTAAACTCTGTTGATTTCTAGAAATATCTAAAGGAATATGGAGAAGGGGGATCTGACTCCGAAGATGATAATGGTATTATAAATGTTGGAAATGGATTCCATCTGTATAAAGAATTATATGATAAGCTATACCGACATCAGAAGGAAGGGGTACTATGGATGTGGTCGTTATTTAAAAAGAAAAAAGGTGGAATTCTGGGAGATGATATGGGGTAAGGGTTTTGATTTATTTTATGCTGTATTCCCAATCTTCTTATGACTTGTATGTATATTTAAATTGATAATAGGATATCTAATATTGCATTTTCTTCAAGACATTGTATATACAGCTACTGAATGTTAGCTTCAAATAGCACTATAGTTACATATTGATATAGAACTTCTATTAATATCAGCCTTAGACTTGGGGATCTTCCAGTAAACCTCTTTGTACAGGATATGGACCTGATCCATTTTTCACTGAATCATATCTACCTCCTGCCCCAGTAGATCTAATCTCATTAAGATAAGCTAAGTTGCATATGGTGTATTGTAGTTTGAATTTACGGACCTTTCTTTATAAGAATGTATGATGAAGTAGGTCTTAAAAATTGAGATCAATTTTATGATACCACGGACCAACCTTTTCATACTTCATTGTGTGTCTTAGATTCTTCAAGAATTTTTCCATGATATTCTGAATAATTCTGTATAAAAAAAAGTGCAAACTGATCCAGCTTCTGATTTTCTAACTATAATTTTGATTACAGATTAGGTAAAACAATTCAAGTAATCAGTTTCTTATCTGGAATGTTTGATATGGAAAAAATACATTATGTCTTGATCGTCATGCCTGTAGCCTTGGTTGTCAACTGGGAAAACGAATTCAATAAATGGTAATTCAAACTTTTTAACTCGATGTGATGGTGTTCATTCCTTCCAGTGTTTTTATAGCCAATTTAATTGCATTTAGTTGTAGACACATAATCACTTTAATAATTCACTTTTCCAGCTTTTCACAGCAGATTGTATCTTTCCTTTTTGAAGTTTTGCATTCTGGTTTTCCATGGTTACTAATAAATGTTAGAGGAAATGAATTCTTAGTTGACCGAACAAGACAAATTTGGAAATGATATCCATCAACCATATGCAATGATAAATATATTGAAAAAATCTTTTTTCTTTTTTTACAATGCTAATACTTGGTAATGATTGTTTGCAGGGCTCCAGGTATTAATGTGACAGCCTATCATGGAACTAGTAAACGAGAAAGAGAAAGATCTCTAACCAAGGTTCAGAGAAGAGGGGGTGTTCTTATTACAACTTATGGTATGGTGGTCACCAGTTGGGAACAACTTGGTGATAAAGATGGCAGGAAATTCTCATGGGTAAGATCTAATTTTGAAAAAACTTCAAAACTAACAATGGAACATAACACTACATTTAGACGCCTATGTAGGGATTGGCTGGTATTCCGAACTAGTTCAACCTATAAAGCTGTTATTTTATGAAAAAAATTGTCTAATATCTGTATAATAATGAGGTTTTATCTTCTCAGCTTTGAGAGATATATATATATATTTGATATATGGATATGATCTCTGATTATCGATTTATACTAATTGTGAACCACTGTTCATTATTGAATTGTATTATAGGATTATATGATATTAGATGAAGGTCACAAAATAAAGAATCCAACTAAAACCACTAAAGGAGTATATAACATACCAGCTAGAAACAGATTGATATTAACTGGTACTCCTGTACAGAATAATCTAAGGGTAAGCATATCACAAAGTAGGACAAAGGGTAAGCTTGTTACAAGTTGGTTAAACTCTTAGATTAACATTGGCATATATGCATTTCTTAGTGTTTTGCAACAAAAAATAGCTTTCAAGTTCATTTGCAGCAGCTGGTGAAAGATAAAGTGCCGGAGTATTTTGTATGAACTTATGGAAAAATGACTTGCATCATGTTCTTTGGATATAGAAAACGAGTGAATTCTAGACAAAAAATTGTATTTCTAAGATGGTCATTTTTAGCATAATTCTTTTGAAAGAAATGTTCCCATATTGAGAATTTTATAAGAATCGATTTAAGTATTGGCCTATTTATTTACAGGAGTTGTGGGCTTTGTTTGATTTCGCCCACCATGGTACATTGTTAGGTACTGCTAGAACATTTAAAATGGAATTTGAGAATCCTATCACTAGAGTAAGTAATTTGATCATTATTCAATCCTACTGTACTATGACTATGTTTCTTCTTCTTCTGTCTTTGAAATTATTTCTCAAAATATAGAATCTGACACATTTAGCTATTTCTTAGTTCAGTAGTCCACTTTTAATCATGATAAATCCATTCAAATGATGTATTGATAAAAGCTTTCTCTGTCAGCTTTGTCATTTTCTGGCATGTATAGTATTACATTTTCACTTGATACTAAAGGACAAATCCTTCTGCCCCCATTCGCATGTTAACAAGCCCCTCACAGCTGGGAATTGAAAAAAGAATGGGCTAATCTTCTTTTGCCTAGTTAGGTGTAAAAAAGTAATATGAATACTTCATTTAGAGCATTTCTTTCCACTTCTAGCTAATACAATTAAACACCTCGCATTATTTATATTTATAGTCTCGAGAAAAAGATGCCACAGTAAATGAAAAGAAATTAGGACAGGAAATCTCAGAAGCCTTGAAGAAAATCATAGCACCATTTTTCTTAAGAAGAACTAAAGCTGAAGTACAGGCCAAGAAAAATGAAAGATTGGAAGGGAATGAAAAGGAACAGAGAAAATCTGCCCAGTAAGTTCTTTAAATCATGTATGTTTCTCATAAACATCTAAATATCACAAATTTCTTAAAGATAGTTAGAAATTTTTTGGTTTTTTTAAAATATTAGGCCCTGTTAGTAGTTGTTAGTAGATCATTATTTTGAAATTCCTTGAATGAATAATAGCAATTTAAACCATTATCAAAAAGATTTGATAGAATGACATTGCCAGATTTTAAGATGTAATCATCATTTGAATAAATCAATTTTCTTAAGTGAAGTGAACTTTCATTCATGGTAATAAGCCTTTGGATTGAGTATATTTGTGTTTCATTGTTGCTATGCCTAGTTCATCTAAAAACATTCTATTTGTAGGATGCCTAATTTAACACGTAAAAATGAGCTGGTAATTTGGTTATATTTAACACAGACACAACAGAAAATATACGAAGATTTTCTAGAGCTAGATGATATTAAAGAGGTAACTATATATTTCAGTTGGGTTTTCACAATTTCAAAAGTTTTATTCACTGGCCAATTGAATAATTTGATAGAACAATTATTTTAAAGATTGGAGATGATTTTTTGATTTGATACAGTGTGTTACTTATAACTGATTGACGCTTGAAATGTTCGACTTTCTATTAATTTTATTATAGCATTAAAAAAACTTCTGACTTTATTTGTTATTAAAATAGTGCGCATCCCAGTAAGTCTGCAGTTATCTCTGTCAACGAAAATAATATGCACCCATCCATAACTTATTAACTCTTATGTTTCAGTTATTGATGACAACTAAATCACCTCTAGTAGCTTTAACAGTTTTAAAGAAAATCTGTGATCATCCCAGACTGTTGACAACTAGAGCTTGTGCTCAGTTAGGACTACATGGTCATGATGAGTAAGTTATGTTGAAATTTATGGCTGGCTCACATTGACTGTTCCTTTGACAATATGTTGATATTTTGACATGTCAAATTGTCTTTATGCTCAATAAATGCATCTCTGTTGATATATGTCGTTGTAATCTGGATTCTGTATTTTTAGACTAGATGAAGACATGTTAGAAGCTCCTGAAGCATTAGAAAGTGCTGCTACCAAAATACAACATGTACAAGATCATATTTTAATCCAAGAATCTGGAAAACTGATAGTTCTAGTAGAATTATTAGATAATTTAAAGTCTGAGGGCCATCGTTGTTTAGTTTTTTCTCAATCCAGAAAAATGTTGGATATTATACAGAAATTAGTTACTAACAGGGTAAGTGTGGCTTGTAGCTTAAAACCTTTCTTAGATATTTCTGAAATAAAATTTCCTGAAATAGTGAAAAAGGGTTCCAATAATTATATCCAACTCTGAAGAAGTTACAGTGAAGGCAAATCGGTATTTTAGATATTGAAATATATTGATCAATAGAAATAAATATTATGTGTATTAAAATTTTCAACTGCTTAAAGGGATTGTAAAGAGGTTGTGTAATATTTTTTATGTGTATTGGGGACAATAAGAGCATCAATTTGGGCCATTCCAATTTTCAATCAGACATCTGTGGTTCCTGCAATACCACTAAAATAAAGTGTTTGATGACTCCACTAATTGCGAAGTCCTTGTAATTAGTGACATCATAAATTGCTTAGTTTTAGGGGAACCACAGACTGAAATTTGGAATGGTGTAAATTGATGCTATCAGTTTCCCCTGATACACATAAAAATTTAGAAAACGTCTTTACAATCATTAAAATCAAAATCCAGATTCAATGAAAAACATTACAATTGCTCCTATCAAGCTTTCTTGAGGTTTTAATATTCATTTCGCTTATTTCAAGTCATATCAGCAGACTGCTTAGCCAAGTTCGTGTATGAAAGGAGAGAATATAAAGAGATCACTAAGCTGATATATAACAAAAGAAATTACTTGATTGACCACTGTCTTAACAATGTTATATTATTGTTAATATCATCTATATTTATAATGGAAATATGTCTGAGTTAGAAAAATTCAGTAATTATTTTATCGTGATATATTAGGGCCATAAAATAATGAGATTAGATGGAACAGTATCAAAAGTAGCTGATAGAGAGGAAAGAATACAGAAATTCCAAACTGATGACCAATATTCCATCTTTCTACTCACAACACAGGTTTGTTGCTAGTCATAAATCTCAATATTTTCAACTGATAATACAAATAACATAGGAAGTCTTATTTAGGTCTATAGATAAAGAAAAAATGGGGTGAAAAACTTTGCAATGTGGCTGATACAATTGCACATTCTTTAAAAGGTATTGTGTAATTATTAAACCTCGAGGGTCCTTATGTTTTATGAGGTTAACCAGATTTTCCGTTCAAAAAAATTGTTCAGCAGTTATTTTGGTATGTATTATACAAGTTAAAACGAATCACACTTTCATTTTCCCTAATTCTTGAGAAAGGTTGGGGAAACAAATGATCACTTTCTTTCAT